CTCTTTCCATTATCCTCGCATCAGATACCAGGAATCCTGCAGAGTCACTTATGGAGTACCTACAGATGCCACCTATGACTTTGAAGGCACCTGGGCCCACTTACAGGAGGGGCCTTCACCGCAGGCCTGCTCCCTGGGGCTCTGAGCCACCCAGCACCCCTACTCGGGCCTGCCTAGTGCTCAAGGGGTCTCCCCTGAGGAGGGGTCCTCAGCTCCATCTCCTCTGTCTCTTCCTGGCCCCTCTATCTACCTGCCTCCCCCCGGCCCACTTTTCTCTCTCCTCTTGTATACACGTGGCATTCAGTCACTCAATTTATGGGAGAAGCAGAGGGAGCCATATACTGAGAGTTTTCACATTGTTGTCCTTCCTTCCAAGCTTTCAGGGGAACATCATTTCCCAGGTGTACAGCCACACCATGAACTATCCATTCTGCTCTGGCAGCCAGTGACTGCTTGGAGACAGCCATCGGATGGAAGGGGAATGTATAGGGACCCTAATCGCTTTCGGTGCCGTCCAAACGTGGTCAGATACATCTATATTTAGACTATCTCACCTTTAAAAAGTTCAGACTGCTCTATTATTTTATTGATTCTAACTGGAGCTAATTCTGTTTCAGAAGCGTGTCCCCAGGGGCAATGATTATTCCTCCCATTTTTCAGATAGTGAAATTCTGAGACTGAAGAATTTGTCTTAGGCTACTTCAGGCAGCATGGTAGGGCTCTCAGTTCAGGGTTCAGGGTTTTTTTGTTTGTTTTGTTTTTTTTGCGGTACGCGGGCCTCTCACTGTTGTGGCCTCTCCCATTGCGGAGCACAGGCTCCGGACGCGCAGGCTCAGGGGCCATGGCTCACGCGCCCAGCCGCTCCGCGGCATGTGGGATCTTCCCGGACCGGGGCACGAACCCGTATCCCCTGCATCAGCAGGCGGACTCTCAACCACTGCGCCACCAGGGAAGCCCTGTTTGTTTGTTTTTTTTAGGAGATGCTGTCCATAGGAGAAAATGCTGGGAGACAAAGTTAAAAAGGGAGTAATATGTGATCTAGTTAAGAGAGTGGGAGGTGGTGGGCCGGAGCTGGAATGCACACATTC